ACCCTAACCCTAACCCTAACCCTAACCCTAACCCTAACCCTAACCCTAACCCTAACCCTAACCCTAACCCTAACCCTCTTCTCCTTAACCACCCTCTTCTCCTCAACCACCCCCTTCTCTTCAACCACCCTCTTCTCCTTAACCACCTCCTTCTCCTCAACCACCCTCTTCTCCTTAACCACCTCCTTCTCCTCAACCACCCCCTTCTCCTCAACCACCCTCTTCTCCTCAACCACCCCCTTCTCCTTAACCACCCTCTTCTTTACTCTTTCTACTACTACTTCCTTTTTACTAACCTCTTTTACCATTACTTTATAACACCTTACCTCTTCTTATAATACTTCTAAACTTCTCTTTCTTCTATTCTTCTACTTTTACTAAAAACCCTAATACTTACTCTTATAATCTCCTAAACTCTTATACTAAAATATTTATACTTCCTCTTCCTTATCTCTACTTTCTTACCTCTTCTAACCTTTACTCTCTACTTCTCTTACTCTTAAACTCTTCTTTACTCCTACTTTCTCTCTCTTTCTCTTACCTCTACTTACACCTACTTCTACTTTTACTCTCTTCTCTACTCTTCTCTTACTCTAAAACTCTACTACTTACTTTTACTTATACTCTTACCTCTACCTCTTCCCTTTCTATACTCTTCTCTACTTTTACTCTACCCTCTCTTCTTATACTTAAATCTTAACCCTTACCTTTATACCTTTTATCTCTTACTCTCTTTCTCTCTTACTCTAGTATTTTCTTTTTTCTACCTTAACACTAACCTACCTGCTATTATCTTATAGCTAAATATCTATTCTTTCTTCTTTTTCTACTTATCTACACTATTTTTATTACTATTTATTAATTTTAACTTTACTAACTCTTATATAATGTGTATATATAAGTTAGTTAAGCATCTCTAAGATATGTAACCTTAATTTAGCATTAACACTAACACTACTCTATCTCTACTACCTGCCTACTGTTATACTGCTGTATAAACAATACTACTCTAATTACTACCACTATTGCATTGCTAAAAAACTCCCCCCACACTTGCTCCCTATGCTGCTTCCCTAGCCACGCTTTGTACTCCTTCCAGTCCCCTCTAAGCTCTCCACTGTACCTGCACTGCTCTTAAATAATCTAAACGCCTTAATCTAGCTCTGCTGCTGTGCTTGCTAACAGCACCACCACATTCAGCCATTAACATTAGTTCTGCACGTCCTCCTGCGTCGCGCAGTACTTCTAACTAACCTAGCACTATTAGCAGCTGTGACTGCTACCTTATTTGTAAATCTCTTATTAAAATGCGTCCAGCTCTATGCCTGTCACGCCTGGGTGCGTAGTGCACTGCATTGTCTTGTGCTGCTGCCACTTAGTTGTGCCAGCGTTGTCCAGCATGTAGCACGCCACGCACCCGTTGCGCAGCTCATCTATCAGTTCCTCTACCTGCTGCCACTCCGTGCTTGCCTCCTGCTGTGCGTTGTGCCAACTGCGCGTCCCCTCTCTGCACTAGTTGCACCTAGCTGTCTCTATATTGTTGCACTCCACCTGCTTGCTGTCTAAGTAGCTGCTTATCAGCCCTTATTAACACCTGCTGCTAATTAGAAACATGCCTATTGCCTGCACGTCTAAGTTGTTGCTCTTCTGCTTCATTATCCGCTCAACCTCGCCCTGCTCCACCAGTACCACTGCATCCACCCTCTCGCCACCTCGCCCGCCTCGACCGCTCTCCTGCGCGAAGTCGATCATGCTCCACAGCATCCCCACGTGTAGTATGTACACGATCCCTGGGAAGTCAACCCCTGTGCCCCAGCGCTGACGTAGCCACGATCAGCCCTCCGTCCATCAGCCACTGCTTCAGCCGCTCCGCTCGCTCCATGTCGGCAGCGTGATAGCACGCGCACCCAAGCGCCTTAGCCAGCTCTTCGCACTGCAACTTGCTGCGGCAGTACACCACGCCCTTCTCTCCCCTGTTGAGCAGTAGCTGCT